AAAAAAAAAAACAGACTGCTAAAAATAAAAAAATAAAAAAAAACCCTGAGTGCTAAATGAAATTAACCCTCCTCCTGGCTATCTTTCCCCAGGTAAACAGGTATCTCGGTATCTCCTTCCTTGGGGCTCCCCTAGGACTTTACTGATTTTTCTACTGCATCTCTACCACCTGAACTGTCGATAACTGCTTTACACATCTATTCCCTTTGCTCTTAGACTATAGGAACAATCTTGAAAATCACCTTTGTACAAAGAGTCATTATCTATTTTACTCAGCAATTTTTTAGTTGAGTCTTGCTATGTGCTAGGCACGAGGATTTAAAGAGGGAAAAGAAAGCATGTCAGAGATGACTTTTCTAGAGATCCTGCCCAAGCTGACACTTAAAGAATGAGGCCAGCTAAATTAGAAGGGGTAGGGGGAAGGAAAGGGTGAGAGCATGCCAGGCAGCAACAAAAGGCAGAGAGAGGCCTGAAAGAGTATATGTATTTGCCCACAATCGAGGGATGGGTGAACAGGACAGGACCAGCAGTTCAGTAAGGCCAGAGAAAGAGCACACAGGGTAAAGGGCTGAAGATGGAGTCTGAGCAGAAGTCACCTTATGAAAGCCATATGTGTAATTTAATGTTCTCAAGACATTAATGTTCTCAAGAGTCCTATTTGCATTGACCATAGAACACTCTCAATGCCAAAACCAACATTCCTACTGAACACATTAATTAACACAGGTGGTAGCTCACGTGGACACAGCCGAGGAGATACTATGCAGCAAATTATCTATGATTCTCATTAATCACTGACTTTGAAAATCAATTCTATAATACATAAAGTCATAGAAGGATAGGAAGTCACTTAATATTTGCTTTTGGAAGGTGCCTTTTAAGGTTATAGTGCATATAGTTATAACCAACAGCTGTGAATTCAGAGCTGTAAAAATAAAGCAAAAAAACCACGCTGTGTTTGAGTCAACAATCTTTAGGTCTCTAATGAGTTATCCTAAATATAATCCTATGTTAGTCCCTAAAATATTTAGTCTCTACATTTTAAATTTAATCCTACTTTCTAAAGAAAATCATGCTTTCCCCTAATTCTCTGTTATCTAGATGTTGCTTTAGTTAAAGGAAGCATACAAACGTCCTGCCAAAAGGTATTCTGTTCAGTGCAAAAGGAGAGTAAACAAATCACATTTTACCAGAAAATAATTTTTTAAAGTTAGAACTATAGCACTACGCAGCCAAACAGGGGCACTCTAGGACTGAATTCTCCACGCTTCTTTGTTACCTTCTTTGCTCTCTTTGTTTTCTGGCAGCTGTGATTGGCACACGTCATGGAGAGTATTATTCCCTGAGAGAAATACAACTCCAATGTTCATCTTTTCTTGTTCTATTAAGTTTGTCTGTCCCAATTCTTTGGTGTCTGACTGTTTTTTAGACATTGATGGTGATACAGGTAGACATTTATCAACTTTCAGATTCTTGGATCTCTCACAAGT